GATAAAATGGATTAAAGAAATGCACTGGATAGTGTGCAAAAATGAAAGTGGACAAACACTCAGGGACGGAGGGAGTATATGGGAAAGAATGATAAATTTGATGCTAACATTTTAAATTTCATCCCCTTCGTTTTTTTAAAACCCAAACAGGCGTTAGTAGCTCTGTTCCCGCAAATTATATGGTACATCCAGCTGTACCTTCCTTTAGGTACAGTCTGGTATTTTTGTAAATTTTGCAAACTTTTTCTCTAATGCCCAGAATATATATGATAATTATTATATATGACAATAAGTATCAGCAGATTTGAGGAGTACCAGCACTTATGAGAATTATCATATTCTTATTCAAAACAAACATGAATAAACCTGTGTTTTAAATTCTCCATGCTCAGAGAGTATAAATGAGTAGGAACGAATCAAATAGAGAAAGAAGTTGATGATGGTACTAAACTTTTTAATTGTGAAAAAATTGAATAATATTTTATTTCAGAAAGAACATTTCCTCAATTGAGAATGAGTATTGATTTTTTAAGAATGAACACTACACTATTTATTATAATTATATTAGACAAATGTGTAAAAATGAGTACTTCTTTATTTTAAAATGAGTATAACCTTTTTCAGAATGAGATGAGTACTACGTATTTCGAAATGAATGTTTATATTTGTAAGAAAATTAGTATTACTTTGTATACCAACTCGTTCCCATCATCCCCTTCCTTCTAATTTAGACAGACCTTTTTAGTTGAGCGATCATCTCCAATGTCCGAGATCATCACCCAATCAACAGATCCATCCGCAGATAAAATGGAGATCGGAAAAAAAGAGCCATGCCCATCGTATCCATTAATCGCGTTGTGTTCAACCTTAGTTTGCTACTCCAGATCTGATTCTTTACTTGGGTCAAAAAGAGATTTAGACTTTCTGCAAAGTTCAATCGAGCCATTTTTTTCTTTCCTTCTCCTGCTTTTTGAATATATATTAGATGAGGAAGTAGTCTGTGTTCATAGTCTCATATACAAGGTGCGCTCTTAGACGTCTCCTGGTAAAGATTTCTACTTTTCATTCCAGTTTTCTTTTCTTCAATCATGGTGATTTGATGTTCATAAGCTTTTCTGTCTACCCAGTTTTTTTTTGGAAGTACAACCCACTGCAGTCTTTATCACACATATCATTGAATCTTTAATGCAGTGTGACAGAAATAACAACAATAGCAAGTTACCCATAATAAGCTCTGGTTGTTTGTCATGGATGGTTGCCTTTGTAGGGCTTTGTATTTGCTGGGTGATGTTCTTTTCTTCTCTTCCTTTCGTTATTCCATAGTTGTTTTACGTTACTATGCATCATCTTTTATAATTGAGTTGTTGTAACTTTTGTTTTTAATGTTTTCTTGAGCCAAGGGTCTTTCATAAACAGCCACTTGACCTTTTTAGGTAGGGGTAAGGTTTGCCTACACCCACCCTATCCAAATTAGTACCTTAGGTCATGTGTAAGCTGTTGGGTAATGAGTAAAATACGTGTGTTATGGGGATTGAAAGGGGGTCGTGATCAAAAGTGGGTGGGTAAATGTGTGAACATTTTGATTGATTGATTTTTTTTTTTTTAAAAAAAATAGAAGTGGGCGGCGACCCCGTGACCACCATCACTTGAAAAAGTGTCACGCCGGTGTTGTCACGGCATGACGACTGGGGATCAAGCCCGGGCCACACACCATAACACATAATGTTACTGGGTTGGTGTTGTTTGTTGTTGGCTGTTTTGTTTGTATTTTTGGACTTCATATGCTTGGTTTTTGCATTGTTTTTAATAATAATCTATGTCGTTTTAAAAAACAATAACACAAGTATATTTTTTAAAATCATTTTGTTGCTTACTAGTTACTACCCTTCCATGTGTATGCAGATATAGGATTCTTCTCATAGACGATTATGAATCATTGGGCGCGCAGGCTGCCTGACTCTGTAAGCCGACTCGAGCTAGGGAATGAGATCATTTTTACAACTTAAAACAATCACTCGATATACCAGACAGTCACAAGGATGACACTGTACCTATCTGTGCTATGGAGGGCAGGGCTGCTCCTTTAACTACAGAACAGCCTAACCTTGGCGCTCGTGTGCCAACATTGGACCCCCAAGCTGATGCTGCGATCAGGTACCTTACCCAGATACTAATGGAGGATAGCTTGGATGAGAATGATCAGAGCTTGTCCTATGATCCCGTTGCTCTTAGGGCTGCTGAGAATTCCTTTTACGAGGCCCTCCGTGGAAACCCTTCACCCCCTCATCAAGAACCTCTCTTTATTAACAACAATTCCGAAAGGTTGCACTGTGCAACAGACAGCAGTTTTGACCCTGACTGGTGGATTGTTGACCCTGAAGAACCAAAATCATTTCTGGCGGGTGATCCTCCCGAGTCCTCTTTCCGATCATCAAGTCAACCTAACACAGGTTCCACTAGAAGCAAGAAGCATAACCATCCAGATGATACTGGGTTAGAAGAAGAAAGGAGAAGCAAATATTCTGCAGCTTGTAAGGAGGAGGAGGAGGTTGAGTTGTCGGAGATGATTGATAAGCTGTTGATTTGTACTGACAATATCATAGTTTATGGGGCTCCATCTGTGGTTGGTGGCAAGGGAACACAACAGAACGGCCGAAGTGGCAGGAAGAGCCATTCCAATAGAAAACAAGATAACACTGAGGTCGTGGATCTGGAGACTCTTTTAATGAGCTGTGCGCGGTCTATTGCCACTTTCGATCACGAGTCTGCACAAGAAGAGTTGAAGATGATCAAGAAGCACTCATCGCCCACTGGGAATGCCAATCAAAGGATGGCTCATGCATTTGCGAATGCTCTTGAGGCACGGCTTAATGGAACAGGCCCAGAACTCTACGCGGCCTTGGCTCCAAATAACATGATACCTTCTGAGATGTTGAAATCCCATCTCACCTCATGGCCAATCGCAAGAATATCATATTTCCTCTCAAACAAAATGATCCACGAAGTAGTTTCGAAAGGTACATCTGTGCATGTCATAGATTTCGGTGTGTTTTTTGGCATCCAATGGCCCACTCTTATCCGGGATCTTTCACAAAGACCCGGAGGCCCTCCTAATCTTCGAATAACTGGAATCGAGTATCCTCAACCCGGGTTTCGCCCCGAACAGATGGTAGAGGAGACTGGTCGTCGCTTGGCAAAGTATTGCGAGCAATTTGGCGTTCCATTCGAGTACAATGCCATAACAACAAAGACTTGGGAGAAGATCAAAGTTGGTGATTTGAAGCTCGCGAAAGGCGAGCTTGTAGCCATTAACTGTCTCTTTCGACTGAAAACCCTAATGGACGAGACCGTTGGCGAGGACGACAACCCAAGGGATGCAGTCCTCAACTTGATTCGGGAAGTGAATCCCTGCGTTTTTGTGCCGACCGTGCTCAGCGGGTCCCACAGCTGTCCCATCTTTCTCTCTCGGTTCCGAGAGGCCTTTCTGTTCTACTCCACTACCTTTGACATGCTTGATGCCACAGTACCAGACGACGGTAGCAGGCTGAGCTTCGAGCGAGAATTCATGGGGCGCGAAATAATGAATGTCGTTGCTTGTGAGGACAGGGAGAGAGTAGAGAGGCCTGAAACATACAAGCAGTGGCAATCGCGGTTTGTGAGGGCCGGGTTCAGGGCAATGCCCATGAACCAGAAACTTGTGAAGAAGGTGAAGGACAAGTTGGAGGTAGGGTATCACAGAGACTTTGTGTTTGATGAAGATGGCCATTGGGTGTTGCAGGGATGGAAAGGCCGGACCATTTGTGGTACTTCTTGCTGGGTACCAACCTCTCATTATGGGTGAAGCCATTATTGTTGTATGCGTATGTTGTTTATCTCTTTGGTTGTGGTTTCATTGTGAGTTGCATATTTGGTGTTTCAGCTAATTTTTTTCTTTTGTATTTGTAACGATAAAATTGACAATTTGTCATAAACCAAGTGGAATCTCCGTAAATGATTTGAGTGGAAAAAATATTTTTGAAAAATATGATCAAAAGGTATTTTCACTAAGTTTCAAAATCATGGCCCTTTTATGGTGTATTTATTAACAAAACCACATTCTTCCTTAACATCAAAATAACTCTTTATAAAGTGGGAAGGAAGAAGCAAATATTGAAACTCCCAAAATCCGTGTAGAATAGAAACCCTAGATGTAGATGGATTTTGTTTTATTGATTGATTATTATGATTCGTTCCTCCTTTTCTTCACGGATTTTTAGCAGTAGTCAATGGAAATGGTTTTGTTTTATAGTCCATAGAAAACATTCCCACATTGGAGAATCAGGCATAAGGAAACCTCCATAAAACGATGAGAGATGAGGCAATAATCCCACTTCCATGATTTTATTAATTGGTTCGTACTTAGTATTTATATTTCCTCATTTTTAAAAGTTTAACAAGTTAGATGATTAAAAATGATGAGATATAAATACTGAGTATGAACAATTAATATTTTCATTTTTTAGTTCACCAACCGTTGGAATTAATCGTATCATTTGTTTGAAGTACAAAATAAAAAGTTTGACAAGTTAGATTATTAAAAATTATGGGAGATAGATATTCGATTCGAATAATTAATAAATTCTATTTTAGTTCAGCAACGGTTGAAATTGATCGTATCGTTTGTTTAAAGTATAAAACAAAGCAATATATAGTCTACAATCATTTTGTTTTTCTAAAAAATTTTCAATCATTATCTTCTTACTTTTTCTTTACTGGTCTTAAGATCCATGCTCATTTTATAGGTCTTGATACATAAAATAATTATATGTAGTAGGTCTTGTTAAAAGATAGAGACTCCAATCATTAGTTTATGGAAAATATGTGAGAAGATTCACATTTCACATGTGAACTTTAAGACAACAATAAAACTTTTTAAGCTCCGTAAACTCGTAAAATCAAGCTGGAATGATTAATTTGGGACGGAAAATATTTAATCATATTGTTTTTAAAATCATTTTTATGTAATTTATTTTAAATTTAAAGTCGATCGATGATAAAAGAAATTAATCAAATTTTAAATTTTGAATATTAGAAAAAATGGTATATATTTGCAAATTCAAATACTTTTTTTAAGCGAAAGCGTGAATAAAACACTTGCTATAAAATATGATAAAATATTATCAGCTTCTTTGGTATCTTTTTTGGCGTAAAGAACCATTCTAGCTCCCCATACTGCCATCCAAAGACCTCGGGTACTCTTTGGACTTGTCTTTACAATCTCTGCTCCCACTTCCTCGACTTCATTAGTATTCACTCTGATTTTCTAAAGGAGACGACGACTGTTCTCAGGCTCTTTCCCACACAAACTGCATAAAACATCAATGTTCAGGTATCTACTCATTCTTATTTTAGTCAGCAGGTTCCCCTCATAACCAACCAAAATATAAATTGAAATCAATCCACACTCATTCCTTCTATAAAGGTATATTTATGTACCATTTGAGCCATTAGTATCCATGTCTGATCTCATATTCCACTCCTATAGACATATCAGCAAAAGCCATGTATCGTCACGAAATATACCTAAAATTTAATGATGAATTTATGGTAAATCATAATTCCAAATTTCTTTGATTAGTTAAAGAAGCAAAGTCACTTGAAGAAGTTAAAAGTAAGCTCACCATTTTCCAAACACCAAAGTTTGGTTATTTGTTATGATTTCATTGTCTATATTAAAAAGTTGTGATTTCAAATTAATTTTCTATATTTGTATTCTGAAATTAGAAATATAAAAATTAAAATTTAATTCTAAATATATACGGAGTATATTATTTTTGTAGGGGAGGATTCCCATGACATTGAAATCCCATGTCACGGGATGACCCGAAGACGTTACGGTGCCCCATTCATAAAACTGTCTGTTTCTATCCTCCTGACCCCCCGGTTTTTATTTCAGTTTTTTTATTTCAGTTTTTTCAATTTAAAAAAAATATAAGCATTAAAAGGTCGTAAAAATACCAATTCGATAAAGCAATAACAATATGTAGAAATGGGTTCGATTTGATCTTTACATAAAATCAAAAACCGAACAGAAGGTTTAGTGTTTGATTCGGTTCAATATAATTTTACATAAAAAACAATGTGTCGAGTGGCCAACAAACATCTAAGAGTTTTCAAACACTCTCAAAAATATCGTATGTAAAAATCAATGAAAGAGAATTTGCATTTTTGGTATAATACTCTCATTTTTATTATAGCATCAAAGTTTTCTCATGTAAATATATAATTTACTCGTACTGATTGTTAATGTTAATATAATTACGTATTAGGATTAGTTATTGATGATGTTTATATTTCTAGGCTTTTTAAAGTTTATAATATGAATATTTAAAATGTTTAATAGTTGAGAAAAATAAATTTAATTGACTAATCAATTATTTACATTTATATTTTTATGATTTTTTTCCATATCACATATACTCATATAAATAAAGCAAAGTACCTAAGAAAGATCGGTTTATTCAGTTCAGTTTGGTTTTCGGTAGTGAAAATCAAAACAGAAACCAAACAATAACTACTGGGTTCATTTTTCTTACATTCCGTTTAAGTTTTTTTATTGTTCTATTTTTTTGTAGCTCGTTTCTATCCATTTCCGTTAGATTTGCCTTTTTCTGTTTTGGCAGCCCTAATCAGCGGCCAATCTAGGAGAAATTCCCTCACTTGGAACATTTGGAGATATAAAGTATTTCCTGAGCAAGACAATTGCATGTTATACATGCGATTCATATTTTTTTGTTCAAAATTTTCGCATGTAGTACATGCAAAAACGTCAACATCACCAGCACTCACTAGTCCTTACGTACAGATTTTTTTTAATTTTTTGGAAGTATTACATGCAAAAATATGACCATCACTTTTTTATTAAATAATTTCTCTCCCAAATGCATATATGGTTCCTTAAGGAATATATAAATAATATTGTTTATTTTTATATATATAATTTTTTGTTACATATCATTAAATATGTATTATTGAAATTTTTGAGTATCAACATCAATATTATTTTTAAGAAGCAAAGATGATTAAATATTATTTATAATGAACCCTGTTTTAAAAAAGTACACAACATAAAAAGCACATAGAAAAAAGTACAATTTAAGAAACACATACTAAAAAACTACACTTTAAAAATAATTTAAGCATTATTATTAATTTGCCCTACGATCCATCTCTCCCGGATAACGATTTTGCTAACGACGTCCTCGACGGGGAGTCTCTTCTAAGGGACGTACCGGTGGCAAGACTTTCCAACCACCAACATTCAAATTTTCTGGAAAAATGAACGGTTCAATCCAACCACTGTAACAACTTAAATATCTTGGAATAGAGTATTTTTCTGGAACAAGATCACCCAATGAGTCTGGAAACAAAAGACCACCCAAATACCCATAGATGACCTGAGTTGTGTATTGCTCCACCTCCCGATTTGTCCATCGAGCATTTGGTTGAACTTGGTGTTCAGGATTTCGAGGAAATAATACTTTAATCTTAAATTGGTCAGGACGATCCAGATGTGCATCAAGAAGTGTCCAGTTCAGAGCATGCAAAAAATCATGGTCTCTCTGCTCTATGGTGCATCTCAACCCAAGAAATGCAAATCCGTTAATGGGGAGACCCAATAGACACTCTACATCCTGTAAAGTCATACCCATTTCTCCAAAAGGGAAATGAAAAGCATTCATCTCCGATATCCATCGCTCAATGAGAGCGGTGATTAAATGTTATGGATAGTAGAGTAGGATAATTAGTATTAATATTATTGTTATTGTTATTATTATCATTATTATTGTAATGTAAATTTTATTAGGTGAGCGAAATTATAAGCTCCTTCGAGGTTTCTTTACGGTTCTTTCCCTCGTCGCTTTTATTGAACCGTCAGGTTAGCATTAGGGTTTCCTTCTTTCCTATATAAGGAGATGTAACCCCCTTTAGAATAATCAATCAATAAACAAATCAAAACCCTAATCCCTTTTTCTCTCTCGCTTCGCCGATTCTCTTCGTCTCAATTTTTCTTCTTCTTCTTCGTCCCATTTTCTCAAGAGCTTGAAGACGCTCTAAATCTTCCCTATCCGATATGTAGTTCGTATCATTAAACTATGGTCAAATCTAATAGGGTGCACACGGTGTACCCCATAAAATCCAGCCCTCCGTAATTAATTTTTTTATTCTTAATTTTTAGTGAATACAAACTTCATTAAAAAAACATCTTCATAATTTCAAAAAAAATATATTCATGTAAACACAATCTTAAAAAAATATATTCATTAAAAAATATAATTTCGAAAAAAATATTTTCATAAATTTTAAAAAAAAAATTAAAAATATTATGGAGCACACAATTGAGAATATATAAACACAATCTTAATAAATCAAATGAAAATGAAAACTAATAAAAACATAACATCTATAATCATTATTATTAATATTTAAAAGCTAAGTGAAATATAAGTAATAAAAAAAATACCTGAGAAATGTTGAATGTTATGAAGTAGTGTGAAAATAGATTAAATTTGAAGAGTTAGTGAAGTGGTGGGTGAAGGGGTGATTAAAATAAAAAAATATGGGTGATAATTAAGAAGATGAAGGGGTGGGTGAAGTTGGATGGTTGGAAAGAAGGTGGTTGAAATGGTGGTAGTGTCGGTGGGAGTGGTTGGTTAAAGTATACTCCGTATTTATTAGAAAGTGGAAAAAGTGAGGTTAAAGTGAACATTATTTTCGCATGTAGTACATGCAAAACAATTAAAAAATAAATCCGCATGTATTACACGTGATTTCTCTGCAAATTTTACTGAAGATTTTGTAAAATGTTTTTTTTTTAAATTCGTATGTACTATGTGCGAATTTGGGGAATTTAAGGTTCGAGTTTAGGAATTAAATTTTTTTTTTTCGAAACGACCCGCCAATCTACAGATCGTTCCGACATCTTGATCGATCATTTCCAGCTTTAACCGGCCGAATGTCCTTTGCGAGATCAGCTGCCATAGAGGGAGTACTGCTTTTCCGGAAGAGGCGAGGCGGGGCGGGGCTCTCACGCCATCAAAAAATGAGCTGTATACTACGTATTTTCTCTGCATTCGGGTCAAAAAGGAAATTTAGACCTTGAGAAATGACTTTTGAAAAATGAACTCTGCATAGTGATTGTTGAAAATGAATCCAGTTTCTGTATTTGATTCAAAGTTAAGGAAAAAAACAGTTTCTCTGTAAAATTTCTAACACAGATTCATTAGTTGCTGGATTCTAGTGGTATGTGCATTCAATTTTCTCTCTTTTCTGCTATTTAATGCTTTATAATACTTCACTGGTTTTTTCACCAGATATGCCCTGACAGTTTTTTTCTTCTTCTTTTGAAATAATCATTGTATGTTATGTTTATAAGTTTTCTGTATGATCAATTTCACCTATTTTAATGTTGAATAGTAATAGTTATAAGAACAACATCAGTAGGAATTAACAACAACCATAATAACCTTTTTGGTTCATAAGTACTCCCTCCGTTCGGAAATTTTCTTCCCGTGTTGACTTGGCACGCTTATTAAGGAATAGTAAAAAAAATGCAAAATTTTCAAAAATGCACAAACTATAAACTTTTAAATCTTCTTTTATTATTAAAAAAGTATTAAAAAAGTAGATTTGTGATAAAATAGAAGGGTATTATTGATATTTAGCCTTAAAAATCATACTAAAAAAGGAAATGGGAAGATTATTTCCGGACGGACCAAAAAGGAAAATGGGAAGAATATTTCCGGACGGAGGGAGTATCTTATATATGCCCAATCATTTGATATGTCCAGTACTCACATTGTGTATCATGAATGATCGCCTTCATAGGGACTTGTATTTTTTTTTTTTGGGTGTTTTTAGTTGCTCATCCTTTCCTTATTACATACAAGTAGTGGTTTAAACTTATACCTTTATTATTCATCTTCTTTTAGGTGTTGTATTTAACCAAGGGTGTTTGTAGGTAGGGTACGGTCTACGTACGCTGAGCCACCCCAAAGTGGGACCATTTTGGGTTGTTGTCGTCGTTGGTTATTTTGTTGTTTGTATTTATAATGTTCATATTTTTGTTTTTGGCGCTGTTATTAATTATTCATAAACTATGCCTAAACTTTAACCCCCCATCCTCCCCTCTTCCTTTTCAAGAATACAAATTTCATTCTCTGCTGTTTACTCGACTTTCATGTGAACGTAGGTATATGTTTCCTCTTGATGTCATGGATGCCCCATCAAATTCGGAATGTCCTAATCATGCTCCTACATTGGACTCCCTAGGTGATCACAACTCTGATGCTGCGATCAAGTTCCTTAATCAGATACTACTGGATGATAACTTGGATGAGAATGATCACATGTCCTATGATCCCATTGCTCTTAGGGCTACTGAGAATTCCTTTTATGAAGCCCTACATCAGAACCCTTTATCCCCTAATCAAGAGCCTCTACGTTTTAACAATAATTCTGAAAGGTTGCAATGCACATTTGGGAGCTCAGGCGGTTGTAACACAACTTTTGGCACTGACCAGTCGTTTGGCGACCTTGAAGAACCAAAATCATCTCTGGCAAGTGATCCTTCCAAATTATCTTTCGAATCATCAACTTTGACTAGCTTGGATAATTTTAGCACCGATTTCACTATAAGAAAGAAGCATACCCTTCCAGATACAAGTTTGTTAGAAGAAGAAAGGAGCAGCAAATATTCTGTAGTCTATGAGGAGGAGGAGGAGATTGAATTGTCCGAGATGTTTGATAAGGTTTTGATATGTGCTGATAATGTCATAACTGATCGGTTTCATCTGCAATTGGCGGCAAGGGAACACAACAGAGTGTACGACGTGGCAGGAAGAGTTGTTCAATGAAAAAAAAGAGATAATAGTGAGGTTGTAGATCTGTGCACGGTCTATTGCTGCATTTGATCATGGGTCTGCATTTGAAAAGTTGAAGATGATCAGGAAGCACTCATCACCTACTGGTGATGCCAGTCAGAGGATGGCTCATGCATTTGCAAATGCTCTTGAGGCACGGCTTAATGGAACAGGCGCGCAACTCTCTGAGGCCTTAGCTCCAAATAAGATGGCAGCTTCTGGGCTATTAAAATCCTTCCTGATATCATGGCCAATCTCAAGAATATCGTTACTCCTGGCTAACAAAATGATTCTTGAAGTAGCTTCAAGAGGTACATCACTGCATGTCATAGATTTTGGCATTTTTTATGGCATCCAATGGCCCACTCTTATCCGCGATCTTTCACAAAGACCCGCCGGCCCTCCTAAACTCCGAATAACTGGAATTGAATATCCCCTGTGCGGTTTTCGCCCAGAACAAATGGTAGTAGAGACTGGCCGTCGCTTGGCAAAGTATTGCGAACAATTTGGTGTTCCATTTGTGTACAATGCCATAACTACAAAGAGTTGGGAGAAAATTAAAATTGATGATTTGAAGCTTGTGAGGGGTGAAGTGGTTGCTGTTAACTGTGTGTTTCGACTGAAAAACCTAATGGATGAGAGACAGTTGGGGATGACAACCCCAGGGATGCAGTTCTGAAATTAATCCGGGAAACAACGCCACATGTTTTTGTGCCAAATGTGCTTAGTGGATCTCGCAGCTGTCCTTTGTTTCTGTCTTGGTTCCGAGAGGCTTATTTATCCTACTCTAATTATTTTGATATGTTTGATGCTACTTTACCACGCGGTTGTAGCAGGAGGTTGAGGTTTGAGCAAGAATTCCTGGGGCGCGAAATAATGAACACCATTGCATGTGAGGGAATGGAAAGATTAGAGAGGCCAGAAACATACAAGCAGTGGCATTTGCGCATTACGAAAGCTGGGTTCAAGCCAATGCCCATGAACCAGGATCTTGTGAAGAAGTTAAGAGGCAAGGTGAAGGCAGGGTACCACAAAGATTTTGTGTTTGATGAAGATGGCCATTGGGTACTGCAAGGATGGAAAGGTCGGACTCTTTGCGGTGTTTCTTGTTGGGTACCTCATCATAATACTTGGAACACATGGCTAATGCCCTGAAGAGGACCTGTTTTTATATTCCATAACAAACTTTTAAGGTATGCTGCTTCTGTGTTTCTGTTTTCTTAGAGATAGAGAGACCAGTTTCATATCAATATGTATGTGTTTGTCTAGCTGCAGCCATTCTCTACTAAATTTGCCTTGAGTCATTTAATTATGGGAATGCACATTATCTCTGTTTTTGTTGCTCTCTAATTTGAAAACTTGCTGATGGATGGTTCCAGATATTTTGCGGTCGATTTTCGTTTTCAAAAATCAAAGAATGTATCGGGGTCCCGGGATTTCAACGTTTGTAGTCGGAGTAACCTTAATTTTTGTTTACACAACCTGCCTCTGCGACCTAGGGTTATGGTGGCCGCCCCCTGTTTCGGCTTTCCAACCTTCATTGCATTGCCACCTTTTTCTTGCCGGAAAAAGGTAACCAATCCTTTTCTAATTTCTATATTTGCTTGATCTTGTCCATTACTGCTTGAGTTTGGCTTGAATCTTTCTTCAAGCAAAACAGGTTTGGGGTTATGCCTTCTTAAGCAGAACAGATGTGGGATTATGGCTCCGTTCCGTTCAACTTATTTTTTCTGATCTCATCTGATTTTTTGTAGTTCTGATCTGATTGGATCTGGTCTGATCTGATTAGTTATGATTTGATTTAAAATTCAAATCAATAACTTGATTTGACTTTGTAATAACGTTTGAAAATTGTAATGATAACTCATATTATAATATAATCAATATTTTTTATTTTATGATATTTTTTTATAAAATAAAATTAGTTAATTCATATATTAGAATAATCATTCATATTATAAAGTAATAATATTTTTTATTTTATGATTATTTTTTTGTGAAATTAGAATATTAATTTAATATTTTAATAATTACTTCATATGTACATTATAATAAATATTTAATCTATATATACATTAAAAAGTAATTAAATTTAGATAATCATAATATAGAAGAGATTGTATTTTTATTAAAATATCTCATCCTTATATAAGATCAAAACTTTAGAAACTCAAATTACAAGTAGCAATAAAAATGTATTTTAAAAGTAGAATTAGATTGACATTGTCAATGTATTTTAAAAATAATTTTATGACGTTTAATAATTAAGGATTACTTTCTCAGTTTTCTATTTAACTTGTTTCTAAAATTTATTCTTTTTCATTTTTGAGAATAATAATAATAATAATAACAACAACAACAACAACAACAACAACAACAACAACAACAACAACAATAATAATAATAATAATAATAATAATTCTTGATGGGGTCTGATTGGATCTGATCTGATCTGGTCTGATTCGATCTGATCTGATCTGATTTTAATAAGAATAAGAAAAAATAAGAAAAAATAAGTTTAACTCCAGTGACATTGGGCACTCCAAATCCTCCAATGCTCTATTTGGAAAATTGATGGTTTTTACTTTCTAATTCCTCCACCCCGGCCAATGACACCGTTGCCCTACTTACAACCTTTTTTTGAAAAAAATAATATAAACTAAGAATATAAATTGATTTTAAAATATATTTACATAACTATCTTTAAGAAATAATATAAATTTAATTTACTTTTTTAATATAATCAATTTTAAAATACATAAAAAATATACTCCGTAATTAACACAATAACATTTTATTAATTTAAGTAAAACTAAAATACTTACCAAATAATGAAACAACAATAATAAATAAAAGAAAATATCAACCCACAATCAAAAAACTATTCCTTGTGTCCTAAAATGTTCTTCCCGTTTCTGTTTACGAGGTTTGACCGACTTTATTTTCAATTCAATTTATTTGATTGTAGGTGTAAAATAAAAAAATAAAATTATTATATTTAAAAAGTATATATCAAAAGTTCTACAAAACAAGATATAATAAGTTGTATATTATTTTTTATCGAATAACTAACTAAAATAAGTAAATAAATTATTAAAGTTTGAACGTCTGAATAATAACGGGGAAGAACGTTTTAGGACAGAAAGAGTAAAAAAATCAATACTAATTTTTAATGCAATCATAAAGAAAATAATGACATACCCTCCCGGCCTCCACCATGCTCGGCAAACTCGGCCTCCACCATGCTCGGCAAACTCATACTTGGGTGTTGGTATTCTCTTTATGAAAATGCCAGTTAGAGCTGACAAATTGGTTGGTCAGATCGGGTTTGGTCACTTTAAGTTCGTGTTCTTTTGAGTTCGGGTTAATTCGGGTTCGGGTTGAGAATTGTATGTTCATGACCCAGTGTCATCGGTTTTGGGTCGACCCAACGGGTTATGACTTTGGTTTTTATAAATTTTTAAATTCACATTAACACTTACATTTTCTATTAAATAAATTTAAAATATCAAAAAAAAGTATTAAATCTATAAAATTATTTTATTTTAAACTCTAAAATAGTTTTTAGATATATAAATCAATATAAGGAATATAAAAATGCTTTAGTTTTGGAAAAAATAAGATAATTATGCAATATCATTAAAATTTTGTCTAAAAGTATAAATTTATACACTAAAACGAGTAAAAAAGTGCATAATTTTGAAAATTTCTTACTTTAGCAGGTCGAGTTCGGGTTCGATCGGGTTTGACTCATTTTTAGCAGGTCATTTCGGGTTCGGTCAACTTTGGGTTTGGTCATCAAAACCTTTGTTTAAAATCCAGTGTTTTCAGGTCGGATTTCGGGTCAAAAATAGGTCGGGTCACTTTTTGTCCGGTCTAATGCCAGTAGACCTGGCAAAAAATGACCTGACCAGTTTTTGATCCGAAACCCAACCTGAAATAGTTTTGAACAAAGGTTTTGATGACCGAACCCGGAGTTGACCGAACTCGAAATGACCTGCTAATAATGGGTCAAACCCGACTGAACCCGAATCTGACCTGACCGACCCGCTAAAGTAAGAATTTTTCAAAATTATACACTTTACTACTTGTTTTTAGTGTATAAACTTATTTTTTCAGACAACATTTTAATGATATTGCATAATTATCTTACTTTTTCCAAAACTTAAGCATTTTTAAATTCCTAAAATTGATTTATATATCTTAAAATTACTTCAGAGTTTAAAATAAAATAATTTTATAGATTTAATGCATTTTTTTTGATATTTTAAATTTATTTAATAGAAAATGTAAGTGTTAAGGTGAATTTAAAAATTTAAAAAACCAAAGTCATAACCCGTTGGGTCGACCCGAAGCCGATGACACTGGGTCATGAACATATAGTTCTCAACCCGAACCCAAATTGACCTGAACTCGATATAACCCGAACTTGAAGTTACGAACCCAAACTTGACCTGACTGACCGATTTGCCAGCTCTAAATGCGAGATAATCAAAGTTTTTTATACCAATATGGCTTTAGGCATCCATACCATCCACACGGGCTCTTCTTACTTCAATATTAATTTATCAAGGTAAAATTCAATACTTTTTCTGTCTCAAAATAAATTATATGTTTACTATTTATACGGTTAAATTTTATTCACTTTATTTTTCCTATTTTCATTAGTCATTTGATAAAATAATATAGTCATGTTACCACTAGTTTTGTAGATATTTTGATGTAGTTTTTAAATATGTAATTTTAATTTTTTTAATTGTACACCATTTTCCATGTTCTAAAAATAACTCCAGTCAAACATCGTAAACTGAAACATGGGATTTAAATTTGGACAGAAAGAGTATTTGTCAAAATTAAGAAACTTTCAATCCTAACAACAAAAGAGACATAATATACCTTCGAAGTATATTATCACAAATTTTATAGACTTTCACAGTTTATTTCAGGTAATGTGAGATTTGCGAGTTCGTACCTGAAAGTCGAAAATACCTCGAAATATATTTCAAACAATGTGGGACTTTTAATAGAGAAAAAAAGAGGAACTGAGGTTGTTGGGGAAATTCACTTAATGTACACCAAGGGCATGTTTGGTGACGTTTCGAGGGATGGTAAGATATGAGTTTAAAAATTTGAAATAAATTATATGAGTTTTGAAATCTGAAACGAAATTTTTTGGAGAGATGTAAGAACATGATTTAATTATTGATAGGCGGGGGTGACCGACAATGTGAGTGGTTGGCGGTGACAATGGTAGTCGGTGGTAGAGAATGGTCATCGAAACTCGTATCTTTTTTTCTCAACAAACACCCCCAAGTGTATTATAAGACAAAAAAGACACACATAGACATTCAATGTCTGTACACACACAAATATTATTAGGTCCTGTTCTTTTGGATATGAATATAAGAGTTGGATATTAGAAGAAACTAGAAGAGGTTTAAAAAAACTAGAGGGAGTTGGAAAAAACGAGAAAGAGTTGAAAAATGTTAGAAGAATTAAAGTATCAAAAAGTTGCTTAATTGAATGATCAACCGAATGATTATGTGAGAAAACTCTAATTTAGGATAAAAAAGAAATTATCCTTGTCCGTGTTTGAAGTGATATGTTATAAATTTGGATATATAATGTTACAGATTGACTAGCTCCAGTAAGATGGCACATTATGGTAAGATGACATGCTACAGTCAGATGATACAAAGCTTACCACTGATCACTGCAAAGCTCATCAAGGACAATTGTGAAGCTCACCAAATCGTATAAAAAAAGATCACCTTGATTTTTTCACACTTTAAATATTTAAGATTTAAAAGTTTCAATGTTCACAAACTCTATCAACAAAGCTTATCGAGCATACGCATGAAGCTCACTAATTTTTTTATGTTGAAAAATATAAAAAAAATCAAAGGGTGACTTGGACCAGCATTGAACGGCCTGGATCACCATTGACCGGTGGTTGGGGATGGAAGCCAACGATGGCGGCGGAGGCAGGAGTGGTCAAGGTGGTAGTCAGCGGTTAAAGTCAATGGTCAAAATGGGTCAAAGTCAAAGTTAGCACCTCTTCCATGTCAAAAAAATAATGGTGAGCTTTACCATACATTCTGGTGAGCTTTATAGTTGGTGTAAGTGAGCTTTACAGTTGGCAATCGTGAGCTTTGCATCGTCTGATTGTGGCATGTCATCTCACTGAAAGTTGTCATCTGACTGGAGTTAATCCCTAATGTTAGTGTGTATTCATTATATATAAATACCTTTTAAGTATTGGTAGAAGAAACTAGAAGTAATTGAAAAAAGTTAGACGAAGTGAAAAAAATGGAAGCAGTTAAAAATTGTAAATTAATTCTTACAATAAAAAAACGAATCTGTGTTTGTGTGTGTGTCTGTTTTTAAGTTGGGTACCCTCGGTATACAAATATGGATTCCCTACCACCCCTTAATTTTCTAGCGTGAATTGGGGCCGGTGGCCGTTGCGCAGTTGGCAAGACAAGAGTTGCTAAGGGGGTAAAATTCGAGTTCGATTTCTGGCAACTGCGCAGGAAGGCAACCATTCTAATCATATGGTCTCTAAAAATGATGCAAGCTCCACTCTTTTTCATTAATCTACTAAGGAGTATAAAAAATGTAATTTACCTCCTCTGTAGGGCCTAGGGCTTATCCTTTTTTCCTGGCTTGAATTGGGAATAAGTTTATGAAACCCTTTTTGAATTCCTCCTCTGATCTCCTTCTTTTCTTTCTTCTTCATCTTCTTGTTGGACCCGCATCCTAAGGCTCTTTGTTTTTCTCTGTCTGTGACTTTGTGCGAAGAATTTATCGAACGGTTCCAGTCTTCCAGATTGCTGATATGGAGATCCCCTGTTCCAGATTGTGAGCTGCGTATCCCAGCTTCGGCCATCTTGAATCGATCGATCATCTCCAACATTAACTGGCCGATTGTCCTTTGCGAGATCAGCTTCCAATCTACAGGTCGTTCCATGGAGGGAGTTAAGTACTGCTCTTCCGGGAGAGTAAAGGCGAGGCGGGGCTCTAACGGCATCAAAAAAGGAACTTTACCTTTTCCCTGTATTTTGGGTCAAAAAGGAATTTGGACTTCTGCAAATCATTTTCCTCCTCCCTAACAGACCTTAGGCTCTTCCTGTCTGTTGATTTCTGTCATGGACTACATCTATTGGATGAGGAGTATTAGAAGGTGCACATTCTAACTTCTGAAAATTTTAAAGGAAAGATATTTTTTTGTGACGAAGAAGGAACGATGATTAATGTTTTACTCTTCAATGGCTTTTTCAACAGGTATGCTCAAACAGTTACTTTTCCTAATACGAATAATCATTGTATGTTGATGTTTAGAAGTTTATCTGTCTGATCAATTTCACATATCTTCGTGTTGAATGTGATTTGCAGTGATTGTCACATGTCATTAAATCTTTAATGGGTAGTAGTAGTCGTAATAGTTAATTAGTTATAACAACAGGATAAACAATAATGATAGCAACTATGATTGTCACATACAAGAATTAACAACTATAATAAGCTTTTTGGCTCACAATGATCTTATTATTGCCTGATCATTTGATGTGTTTGGTACTCTCATTGTTTATGATGAATGGTTACCTTCACAGGGGCTTGTATTTGTCGCGTGTTGTTATTTGCTCATCCTTTCCTTATTGCATAGTTGTTTTAGATTTCACCTTTACTATTCATCTTCTTTTACTCCGGGTACCTTTTTAGGTAGGGATACGGTCTGCATAGACCGACCCACCTCAAAGTAGGATTGTACCGGGTTGTTGTTGTTAATTATTTTTTTGTTTGTAATTATAAAGTTCATAAGTTTGTTTTTGACATTGTTATTACTTATTAATAACCTATGCTTACAGTTAACCCCCCCCCTCCGTACGTAGGTGTATGATTTCTCACATAGAAGATTATGGATCATTGGGTGAGTAGACTGTCTTTCTCTGACGACAGACTCGAGTTGCAGAACAAGATCATTTTTACCTCCTAAAAAAATCTATGGATATTACACAGAAATTTAGTGATGAGAATGTACTACCTCTTGCGGTCATAGATGCCCCATCAAATTCAGAATATCCTAATCGTGCTGCTACGTTGGACTCTCAAGATGATCCCGACTATAATGCCACGATCAAGTTCCTTAACCAGATACTACTGGAGGATAACATGGATGAGAATGATCTCAGCATGTCCTATGATCCCATTGCTCTTAGGGCTGTTGAGAATTCGTTTTATAATGCCCTGTGTCAGAACCCTTCATCTCCTTATCAAGGACCTCTATTTTATAACAATAATTCTGAAAGGTTGCACTGCACATTTGGCAGCTCAGGCTATTATAGCACAACTGGCAGCACCGTTAGCAGTTTTGACACTAGCCAGTGGATTGTCAATCCTGAAGGTCCAAAATCATCTCTGGCTGGTGATCCTCCCGAGTACGCTTCCCATAAATATAACACCAATTCCACTATAAGAAAGAAGCATAACCTTCCAGATAGAAGTGGGTTAGAAGAAGAAAGGAGCAGCAAATTTTCTGCAGTCTATGAGGAGGAGGTGAAGGAGGTTGAATTGTCTGAGATGTTTGATAAGGTTTTGATATGTGCTGATAACATCATATCTGATCGGTTTTCATCTGCTGTTGGTGGCCGGAAGAGTCGTTCATTGAAACAAAGAGATGATAGTGAGTTTGTAGATCTGGAGACACTTTTATTAGGCTGTGCACGGTCTATTGCTGCTTCTGATCATGGGTCTGTAAAAGAAAAATTGAAGATGATCAGGAAGCACTCTTCACGTACCGGTGATGCCAGTCAAAGGATGGCTCATGCATTTGCGAATGCTCTTGAGGCACGGCTTAACGGAACAGGCGCACAACTCTCTGAGGCCTTAGCTCCAAATAAAATGACAGGTTCTGGGCTCTTAAAATCCTTCCTGATATCATGGCCAATCGCAAGATTATCATATTTCATTGCAAATAAAATGATTCAGGAAGTAGCTTTGAATAGTACATCACTGCATGTCATAGATTTTGGTATTTTTTATGGTATCCAGTGGCCCACTCTCATCCGCGATCTTTCTCAAAGACCCGCCGGCCCTCCTAAACTTCGAATAACTGGAATTGAATATCCCTTATGTGGTTTTCGCCCAGAACAAATGGTAGTAGAGACTGGTCGTCGCTTGGCAAAGTATTGCGAACAGTTTGGCGTTCCATTTGAGTACAATGCCATAACTACAAAGAGTTGGGAGAAAATTAAAATTGAAGATTTGAAGCTTGTGAGGGGTGAGGTTGTTGCTGTTAACTGTGTATATCGACTGAAAAATCTAATGGAGGGGACAGTTGGGGTCGATAGCCATAGGGATGCAGTTCTGGACTTAATTTGGGAAATAACTCCACATATATTTGTGCCGAATGTGCTCAATGGATCTCACAGCTGCGATATCTTTCTGTCTCGGTTCCGAGAGGCTTTTTTATTCTACTCTAATTATTTTGATATGTTTGATGCTACTTTACCACGCAATTGTAGCAGCAGATTGAGCTTTGAGCAAGAGTTCCTGGGACGCGAAATTATGAATGTTGTTGCTTGTGAGGGAATGGAAAGAGTAGAGAGGCCAGAAACATACAAGCAGTGGCATTTGCGCATTATGAAAGCTGGGTTCAAGCCCATGCCCATGAACCCGGATCTTGTGAAGAAGTTAAGAGGCAAGGTGAACGCAAGGTATCACAAAGATTTTGTGTTTGATGAAGATGGCCATTGGGTACTGCAAGGATGGAAAGGTCGGATTCTTTGGGGTGTTTCCGGTTGGGTGCCTCATCGGACTCTTTGCAGTTTTGACACTGAAGAATCAAAATCATCTCTGGCTGGTGATCCTCCCTCTTTCCATTCATCAAGTCTAATGAACTTGGATGACTATAACACCGATTCCACTAGAAGCAAGAAGCATAACCTTCCAGATAAAAGTCGGATAGAAGAAGAAAGGAGCAGCAAATATTCCGCAGTTTATGATGAAGAGGAGGAGGAGGTTGAATTGTCTGAGATGTTTGATAAGGTTTTGATATGTGCTGATAGTATCATAGCTGATCAGTTTATATCTCTAGTTTGCTGCAAGGGAACAAAACAGAACCACCAAGGTGGCAGGAAGAGTCATTCAAAGACACATAAAGACAATACTGAGTTTGTGGATATGGAGACGCTTTTATTAAGCTGTGCACGATCTATTGCTGCTCTTGATCATGAGTCTGCAAAAGAACAATTAAGAAATATCAGAAAGTACTCATCGCCAACTGGTGATGCCTATCAAAGGATGGCTCATGCATTTGCAAATGCTCTTGAGGCACGGCTTAATGGGACAGGCCCACAACTCTCTGAGGGCCTTGCTCCAAATAAGATGACTGGGCTATTAAGATCCTTCATGATATCTTGGCCAGTCTTAAGAATATCATATTTCATTGCTAATAAAATAATTCAGGAAGTAGCTTCAAAGTGTACATCACTGCATGTCATAGATTTTGGTATTTATAATGGTATCCAGTGGCCGACTCTTATCCATGATCTTTCAAAAAGACCCACCGGCCCTCCTAAACTTAAAGTAACTGGAATCGAATACCCGATACGTGGTTTTTGCCCAGAACAATTGGTAGTAGACACTGGTCGTCTCTTGGCAAAGTATTGCAAACAATTTGGTGTACCATTCGAGTACAATGCCATAACTTCACAGAATTGGGAGAAAATCAAAATTGATGATTTGAAGCTTGTGAGGGGTGAGGTTGTTGCTGTTAACTGTGCGTTCCGGTTGAGAAACCTAATGGATGAGACCCTTGGGGAGGACCACCCTAGCCCTAGAGATGCAGTTCTGAACTTAATCCGGGAAATAAATCCACAAGTTTTCGTACCAATTGTGCTCAATGCAACTCACAGTGGCCCTTTGTTTCTGTCTCGGTTCCGAGAGGCTTTTCTATTCTACTCCAATTATTTTGATATGATTGACGCCACTGTGCCACATGATGACAGCAGATTGAGGTTTGAGCAGGAATTTGCGGGACGCGAAATAATGAATGTCATTGCTTGTGAGGGAATGGAAAGAGTAGAGAGGCCTGGAACATACAAGCAGTGGCAGATGTGCATTACAAAAGCTGGGTTCAATCCAATGCCCATGAACCAGGATCTTGTGAAGAAGTTAAGTGGCAAGGTGAAGGCAGGGTACCACAAAGATTTTGTGTTTGATGAAGATGGCCATTGGGTACTGCAAGGATGGAAAGGCCGGACTCTTTGCGGCGTTTCTGGTTGGGTCCCTTGTCGTTAATGCCCTGAAGAGGACCTGTTTTATATAAATATGTATACGTTTGTCTATTTGATTATGGGAATGCACATTTTCTCTGTTTTTGTTGTTCTCTAACATCAAACATGTTGATGGATGATTTCAATTATTTTGTGGCTGTTTCTCTTTTTCCATTATCAAAGAATGTATCCTGTGGTTCCCGGCATTCTAAGAATTTCAAACATGTTTGATACAATTATTTTTTGTTCATACAAAACATAACTAAAAAAGATTTCAATTATTTTTTGTTAATACAAACATGTGTACTGAGTATCATCTTTTTGCTCTTTTCATAAACAAAAGTTATGAGTAACCTCAAGTACTAAAGATAACGATAGTTTTGGAACTAATGTTGTAGTACTAGTATTAATCCCGTGCTTCGCACAAGCTCGTATATATTTTTAATTTTTAATATTCTATAAATACAGTTTTATTAATTTAATTTTACCAATAATGATATAGTATTTGAATCCCACTACAGTAGGGATATCTAGGTTGTAATAAAATTTTAATTTAAATATTGATGTACACGTATTAAAATTTTTATAATTCTTTATATTTGAAAAGTAATAATAGGGAAAATACAATTCTATTTATTTAATTTTACCAATAATATGTGTTATATAAATATTTTTTGAGTATCACATATGTAGTATATCTATGTTGCAATAAAATTTTAATTTAAATATTGATGTACACGTTCTAAAATTTTTATATATCTTTATTTTTGAAAGGTAATAATAAGGAGAATAATGAAAAATTTAAATAAATCATAAAAAACTTTTTAGATATTAAACTAATTAGGTACATGTTCAATATATACTCCATTTTAAAATAGTTATATACATACTGGTCTAATACTTAGAAAATAAAAAGTTTATAAAAAATTTGCGACATTGAATGAATTAATAATGAAAATTCTCTAAATTAATTAAAAATAAATTATTTTTTTTAAAATAGACTAATGAAACAACGGTATACATTAGAAAATAAATGTGTCACATATATCACATGTCATTATTCAATTAAACCAACATAACTTTATTTAGTTTGTTGGAAAAAATGTAATAAGATATAAATTGCGAAGTAAATAAAGATTGATATTATTAAATTCATATAGAATGAATAAAATAAAATAAATTGTGGATAGTTTTAAAATTTATATACAATATTGCTTCATTATGTAATAAAGTTTATATTTTTAAAAAAAATAAAAAAAATTATGAAATGTTAAAAAATATGTTATAAATTGAAGTATAGTTTTTCCTTAAGAAATATATTTATGTAATAGTTTTTTGGCACGTAATAAAATAAAATAAATTGTGGATAATTGAGAATTAATATATACAATGCTGATTTTTTAATTGATAAAGTTTATATCATTTTATTTAACTAATAATAAAATGATGCATATATTTAAATAATGAAATAGATATTTGTAAAATTATTAGAAAGTGAAGAGTTTATAAAATTTTTGATTATTTATTGTTTAAAACTGAAAAGGTTTATAAAAAATTTATAAAAATAATGGTCATATCATCTCTAGTTTTCCAAGAAGTTTCGATATAGTTTTAAATACATAACTTTCATTCTTAAATTTTATACTTATAATCAAACAAATTGGATTAAAATTAATTTCACTCAAACCTCTTAAATTGAAATGGGAAGATAGTGTTAGAATGGAGGAAGTATAATAAAATAAATCTAAACGTTTGAAATAAATATATTATATAGTTAATAAAGATGCATAAATGTAATAGAAGTAATAAAAGTATAAATTTTTGGACAGTTTTAAAACTATACTCCGTATATAGTATGTTGTTTTTTTAAAATAAATTTATATAACTTTTTCAAATAATGATATAAAGATGCATTTATATTTAAGTAATGAAAAAGAGTTTCCTAAAATGGTTAGGGAGTAAAGGGTTTATAGATGCTCTCTTCTTTTGGGTCGGAATTTCAGAGTTGGATGCTGGAAAGAATTAGAAAAAACATTAAAGAGTTGGAAAATGTTGGAAGAATTAAAGTGTTAAGAAGTCACTCAATTAAATGATCACTCAAATAAATATATAAGAAAATTCTAATTTTAGATAAAAAAAAAAAAGAATTCTTCCTTGTGCGTGTTTGAGGTGGTATGTTATAAATTTGGGTATATAATAGTATTATATATTTTTCATATGTAAATACGTTTTTAAGTCGTTGTTGGAAAAACAAGAAGGTGTTAGAAGTTAATTACTACCTCCGTCCCAGAGTATTTGTCCACTTTCATTTTTACACATCATCCAATACACTTCTTTAATCCATTTTATCTTGTAATTTGTATATTAAAAAAATTATAGAAATTATTTATTAATAATCTATATGTTAAGACAAATCAAACAAGATCACACATGACTTACATTTAGGCTTACACATTGAGAGAATTTGATGAGTCAAAGTGCTTAGATGAATAGTTCCAAAAGTCAAAACTGGACGAATACTCCGGGACGGAGAGAGTACATTTTTCTAACCCAAAAGAAGAAAATGTTAAAAAGTGAAGGGGTTTATAAAGTTTTAATAAGAATAATGATTATTTTTAAATAGTGAATACTTTTTTAAATATTTATAAAAAATAATGAAACGATAAAATTTATATAATATTTTTAAATTAATGAGTTTTTGATATTAAATACCACAATGATGAAAAATAATACAAAATTAGTTTAAAAATTAGAAAGTGGAAGTTTTTAAAGTGAAAGATTTCTAAATATAATAAAATAGTGATTATTTAATATAAATGCATGCATGGCATGACACATGTTACAAATGTGCACATGTGGTGTGACACATGTTGTTACCATATTTAATAAAATCATACATTTAACAGTTAAAAAATTGTAAAAGTTATCATATTTATTTATAGAGCATTAATTATTAGTAATATATAAGGGTAATGCTTTACTACCGTTGCCAAAAGCCGAGAAGTAGCGGGGAGGTGCAGCATTTTAAAGAATGCTACCTTCCCACACTGGTTTTGTAAACTGAACGAAATCATCTGTGTACTTATAAAAAGCGAAAGCCGCTATGTAGAGAAGCATACCTTTCTCGGCCTTTTGGCTAAGATCAAGTTGAAAGGTAACCATGCAAGGATAGGCAGCGGAATATAAAAATTATAACATCCTAACATGATTATCTTGCCCAGAATCACGTACTAAAACTTATAGTGAGTAAGAAATTTATACCTCTCTCCGTAAGCGGTAAAAACGAAGAAGTTGTAGGAAGAGCGTTGAAAGTGCAAACGTAACCGTTCAAGCGTCTGGTCTCCAACTTTGACACACGAACAATGCCGGAGTCTACCACGATCTTTATGCTAGTAAAGATTATAGTAGTATAAAATATAAAGATTAAAATTTGGGATAATAATAATCTTGTATATTTCTATAGAAAATATTTCCAATAATATTTAGAAAATATTATAGATATTTTCTACACACAAAATGATATTAATGGAACAAGATATCATTTTCTCTCACTAGAAATATAATGGCCGAAAACACTTAAAGCCAAAATGATAATCTTCCCCATGCCATTATATTGTAATAGCCGTGTGATTTAAAAACAAAAGAGTAATCAAACTTTGTCATTAAGCTAAAAGTTAAACTAATGAATAAACTTTGTCAAAGATTGATTTTGTGATCTTTTAAATCACTTTCGCCGAAAATTTTGATTGTGAGAAAGATTTTCAAAATTCTTCTCCACTCAAATGTTCAAAGTGTATTTTATTTGACACCAAAAATTAATATAAAAATTAATTTTAAATCATATAAAAATACCAATATCATTTTTAAACAAGTATACATATATACTTTCAATAGTTCATGTCAAAATAATTATTTCCATAATTAAAATGACAAACCAAAATAAAATATTCAACATATAATATATATATATATATACATTAATCGGTACATATATATAATATATATAACCGAATATTTATATATATAATATTATATTCCAAAATATTTTATTTTACTATTTTACAAATATACAAATTACTTATTATCCCATTGTTGAATCCTACTCCTTAAATTGTTCAAAGTGTGTGACCCGTATAGGCACTTATAAAGCTGGCCACAGTATTGGCTCTGCACCAATACTATAAGCAATAAGCGGCATCTAGCAACACATTATTGCCCCCAGATTATAAGTTAAGACGTTTGCACTGTCAAAACCTTTCCACGACTCAGACTCCGTGTAACTGTATCCCTTTGTCTCAATGTCTAAACTTAATGCAAGGGATTAATAAAATCCAACTTGTATCCATTAAGTCATTCACTGATTTATCAAGTCTGACTAATAGGAACAGACGTCATAAAAGCATCTCAGCATGGTCATGCAATTTCCTTAGTCATAACTTATCAGTGGGCTCCATAAGACATTAATCTCTTTAAAAAGAGTAGTGACAAATCCTATGTACGTAATCTACGTTTCTGAATACGCGCTGCGGCATACCCAAAACAAAGCCTGTATACCATCCTTATTTCATATGGCTTAGGACAATGCATCAAAGTATGCGGGTTCACATATGCAGAAAACGTAATACTTCAAGTCGAAGGATAGTTACACCCGTGGTCGCGCTAAAGATGCTTAGAGCATGAACTAAAAGTTCAAGCAACATCTTTAGGATGGGTCAGTCCGGCATCCTATTATCTCTAGATAATATCTGCCCATGTGCGGATGCGAACACACCGTCATTGACTATGAGACTAAGTCAAACATCCAACACACACTAGTCTCACATGCATTAACGATATCCCACTCTCGTTAATACTCGACTATGGACATT